TGTGCACAAGGGCGTTGTAAGGTGATCGTAAGGGTTCGCATGAGATTGAGTCCAAGAGCTTAAATCCGTGTATAAGGCACTTACTTTGGAACACCACATGTGCACAACTTCGAGGGTCAACAATCAACAGTTAGTTGTTGAGATCTTTACTATACTATAGTGTACACTTCTAGCAACCCCCAAACCCCACACTCTTCCTCGAAATTTACCTACTTGGAGGGTCGTGGGACTCAGTAAGTATGGTTATAAGTACCTTAATTGGGGTTATAAGTAACTATAAGTATAGTTACCTTATTTATATCCCCAGTTACTAAGTCCCATGATCCTTTGCGTAGCTTACAAAGAGATCCAGAACTCGAATCCCGAAGAAGCAGCCCAAACCCCCAACCCCTGACCCTCAACCCTACATAACACCAGCCTCATATTATATGGGTAGTTGTCAAAACAAGGGTCCCTTTCTGGGTACCTTAAACATTAGGTGCCGTATTATATTAAGGACCCAAAAAGGGACCATAATTTTGACAACCACCCATGTATGGAACTCATAGGACCCTACACGAGGAACCCGAAGAGAACCCTGAGACTCTGCAGGTGTCTACTCTTCCAAAGTCTGCACGGCTCTCAGTCGCCTGGGGTCATCGAAGCATGGGTGAGGTTGTCAGAGACTCCTAAGAAACCTACATTTTTAATTTTTCAGGATTCTGTACTATGCTTTCGTCAATCTAAGTCCTCAAAAAGGTAGGGTATTGGGGTGGCAAGGTATATCGTAAATTATCGAGGTAACGTTAATCGGCTCCTAGGTACATGTTCCTGAAGTAGCGGATTTTGGAGTTTCTGGGCTCATATGGTTTCGTCAATCTAAGTCCTCAAAAAAGCAGGGTATTGGGGGGTCAAGGTATATCTTAGATTATCGAGGTTAGCTTAATCGGCTCCTAGGTACATGTTCCTGAAGTAGCGGACTTGGGAGTTTCTGGGCTCAGACCAAGCTGTCGAGGGCCATTTCAAGTGTCTGGATCTGGTAGTCCATCGTTTCTGCCGACCTCAGTCAAACCTTTGAGCTCAGGCAAATCCGGACCCCAAGACGTGAACCATGCGGTGCTTGCCATTGGCTATGGTAAAGATCGGCGGAGTGGAAAGCAGTACTGGCGGCTCGGATGAGGTGTGGGAGCATGTGTGGGAAGAATTTCTTCCGGGTTTAAGGTGCCCCTAAGCCCTAAACTTCGAAACTCCTAAACTCTTTCCACCCTAAACCCTATCGTAGAATGCAGACATTCGAGCGTGAAAGGCTTCATGGTGGGGGCTCTTCACGGTAACTTGAGCTTGGGGAGGCTTAAGCAGCTTGATGCACATAACATCGGAACAGTTTCGCTTCTTGTCCCTAAAAGACTCCAGTAAAATAGCTCGTATCTCAAACCCTATTCTAAAGAGTCAGGCCCCTGTATGAGGCCGTTTTGGAAAACTTGTCTGTCAGCAGCATTCCGATGGACAGGCGGGGCCCAAACTCCAATAGCCCTAAACCTTAAACTCCAAAGCCCTAAACCCTCAAACTCAAAACTTGTAAACCCTGAACCCAAAGCCCCACAATGGATAAGCACTAATCCCAGCCTTGACACCCCGAAAGGGGCTGCAGGATAGGTCCTCTTAACTCCTGAACCCCGATATTCATAATACCCTGAACCTGAAACCCTCGAACGTGGTTCCGCAAGCCCCACAGTAGCCCCTGAACCCCGAACACGGCTCCTGTACTGATCTCGATACACATGGTTATCCCCACTATTATTGATCCCTTCTAGATCTCTTGAAAGGAACCCTTGAAGAAGCCATTTCAAGTTACTAAGTCCCAGGATCTTTTAAGTGCTCCTGAGGCTCATCAAGAACTCCTGGGACTACGACTGGGGCATCTGGGCACATCTGCGAAGCAGACTAAAGTCTGCCGTACCCACAGACTCCAATATCCCTTAATTAAGGAATATACCTTACATCATTTTCTAAGGTATATTCCTTAATTAAGGGATATTGGAGTCTCTGGGTACGTATGTTCATAGGGTTCATAAGCAGAACCTGCGGAAAATCAGGTTACGGTAGCTTCAGGTACACCCCCAAAAGGAGCTTATCAATCCCTTGCTTTCAGGAACTGTGTTTCATTTCTGTTATATTGAACACGCAAGATGGTTATAGTAAACCTCATAAAATATCAAGCCGGGTTAAGGCCAAATAGTGCCGGGATTCCCCATGCATTACTCTCACGGATTGAGGCTACTACGGGGTTTCTAACTTTTTGGCTTCTACTGTAAACATATCACATAATTAATTAATTGCTTGTATTACCCTATCCCCCCAGTTAGGGCCCGAGACCCCTTAAGGACCCCATAATAAGGTCCCTGGAGGCATAGGGTTATGGTTCCAAGGTGACGAGGGGTTCTTCAAGATCGAGGCCTTCAAGAACATGTGTCTCGGCTGCTCATGGGCTCATACGGCTTTGTAGAACTCCTTAGAAGGGGCCCCCACCCTGTAATAGTGGTATAATAGAAATGTAATAGGGCCCTAATATATTCCTTATAGTCACTATTACAGGGTGGGGGCAGCTTCGAAAGAACTCCCATTTTGGGGTTTAGGGCGTTGGGATTTAGGGGTTTTTAGAGAATCCTCGATGAATGCTGGGCTGTACATGTGCGTTAATTATGCTCCCGAAAAACCTTGCCTTGCAGGATGGAGCTAACCGCCGCATATTTGGGCCGAACGGCTGGGTTCTTGTTGCGGAACTCACCTTAGCTCACCCTAATAGGGATCTATAGTAACTCACCACAGTAGTGATCTAGAGTAAGTAATCTGGATTCCTTATTAGGGCAACTTCAAATATCCTTTAACAAGAACCCAGACTGAGGTGCGGCGTCGCAGATTGCATGGCCTATCCGGACCTGGGCTCCCGCGAGCCGGCGTCGATCCTCGTGTGATGGGCTTTCCAGGGGGCTGGTGCTCAGGGGCAGCGTCGGCATCCCTAAAGCCTTCAGGACATAGGTAGTTGTCAAAATTAAGGTTCCTTTTTGGGTACCCTAAATAATGGGTGCCGTATTATAATAGGGACCCCAAAAGGGACCATTATTTTGACAACCACCCACATGTTTCTGATGGGCTCCTGGTTGGACTTCCGAGACTTAAGGGGAGATTGTTTAGAATATATGTTTCAGACAATTTGGGGGGCCCACCTGGAGTAGTGAAGCCTGCGCGATTCTACTTTTTCCCTGGTCCCAATGGAATGTCTCACTACAAAACATGCAAAGAACCCAAGGGAAAAGTAGAATTACGCCCCAAACCCTTAACCTTGTTAGGGTAGTCCCGAATGTTCTGCATTGTCAGACCCCAACCTCGAGCTTCCCCAGAGAACCCCCCGGTGCCCCTTGAACAAGGAATCCCGTATCAATTTTGGGCGGATGCTTTGCACGTTGAGGCCGAAGGCTTACTTACCTCTAAAACCTTGAAGCCGTAAATATGGGAGTTTCCGACAACTACGGGTGCCTTATTTGGGGGTTCCTATGATAAGGATCCTACTATTTAGGGTACTATATTTGGGTCCCCTATTCTCGGAAACTCCAACATAGCCCTAAACTCTAAGCCGTAAACCCACAAAGAGCTGAACCCGACACTCTCAGAGTTTGAAACTGTTTAGGGTTTCGAGCTGACGGCCGAGCTCCAGCAAGCGATGCACACCGCAGTCTCCGGGCCGCCAACAGAGCTGGCCCGTTTTATCTTCCGACCGCGGTGCTGGCAAAAAGTCCTTGCCGACGGCCTGCCCCAGGGGCTTAGGGTTTGGGCGGTTTGGGTTCAGGTTTAGGGTTTGAGGCGCTACATAGCCTTGCGAAAGAAGTTGGGTCCTGCTTAGGTACCGCAAATCCAGATTGAATGCGGACTGCTTGCGGTTTGTCGCCAGTTTGAGCTTCCATGGTTGTTTTGGCTGTAGGAGGGATAATTTTAGACCTGCTTGGTCTAGCAATTTTAAAAGGTGCAAATGCCATGAAGACCACTCATATGTGTGCGCTTTTTGAACTTTATAGGGGTTGTGTGGGGTTTAGGGATGTGTGTTTCGCTATGCTCTGCTTGTTGCAGCTGCTTGTTATGCACTTTACATACGGTGTAAGAAATCAGAAATCATAGTCTACACCTAATATGATCATTGCATTGGTCACCAAACCCTAGGCCCTACTTAAAGGCTCATGGGACCTAGTAAGTAAGGTTACAAGTAGGCTATAATTAGGATAACCCCACTTAGGCGACTTATAACCCCAGTTATAACCTACTTACTATGTCCCATGATCCTTGAAGTAGCCTAAACTACCCCTTATAGAACCCCTATATAGATCCCTTGAAGGAGCTCTTTAAAGGAACCCTACCTTACTAAGTCCCATGATCCTTTAAGTAGACCCCACAACCCTAAACCCCGGGTTGCTATCCTCACTAACACCCATTTAGGGTTTAGGGTTGTCTAAACAAAGTGGCCTCGGTTCGGCTTTGGGCGTTCTTTTGTAGAGCTTAGGGTATGTAATATACCCTAAGCTCTAAACAGAGCCAAAGCCGAACCGAATATAGGGCTTCGGGGGTTTAAGGGTTTAGGCTTTAGATGGTTTATGGGAACGCAAGGATGCATCTCTGAAGCCTCCGCCGAGGTGTTGGACCCCAAACCCTAAACCCTAGACCCTAGGTCGTGCAGCCATAAAAAGGAGCTCAAAAAAAGCCTAGACCCTAAACCCTAGACCCTAAACCCTAAACCCTAGACCCTAAACCCTAAACCCTAAACCCTAAACCGTAAACCCTAAACCGTAAACCCTAAACCCTAAACCCTAAACACAAAACCCTAAACCGTAAACCCTAAACCCTAAACCGTAAACCCTAAACCCTAAACCGTAAACCCTAAACCGTAAACCCTAAACCCTAAACCGTCAACCCTAAACCCTAAACCGTAAACCCTAAACCCTAAACCGTAAACCCTAAACCCTAAACCGGAGGTCGGCGCTGGCAATCTTTCCACCCGCCGCTTTGTGTACGACCAGGCTCGCCTCTGCTTTAACCCAGAGGGTCCATATACACTACTCTTACTTAGCCAATTGGAGAACTTTAAACTTTTTGGCTTTATGTAGTTGGTCTATCCTACAAAGTCTGAACTTTTTTGGGGCCTGGTTATTGGAGAAGAGAGTACTACTATGGAACTAGGTCCCCATAATAGTAGTATGTATGGACCCTCTGGGTAAAGGACCCCACAAGCACATAGGTGGTTGTCAAAACTATGGTCTCTTTTTGGGTCCCTGTTTTCATACATCACCTATTACTTCGAGTACCCAAAAAGGTGCCATAATTTTGACAACCACCCACATAAGCATAAGCATTTTATGTGGATATCCCTACCTTATTGGCCTTCCTTTTACAGGGCTTTTATGGGATATCTCTATCCTAGTTGTTGCTTATGTGCTTCTTTGGGGCCCTACTTAAAGGAAAGGGCGCACGGCGTGAAGGCCGAAATGCTCGGATGTCCAGGCATACTCGACATCGCGGGAGTTTTGCTATCTTCGGGATCCCAAGTCGTATGTCTCTGTAGCTGTCCTGCCGCTAAGATTTCCGCGAGTGTTTGTATTGTTAGTGTTAGACACTGTACGGTATATCAGAACCTGAATCCTAATCCCTCAGAGAAGGCCATAGTAAGCCCAGATGGACAAATCCTAAAGCGTATGTGAGGCTTAGACAAACTGCTTGACAGACCCCAAGCGGTCCTAAAAGCCTCATCGGTTTATACCCCTTAGGCCAAGTCTACAGAACACTGAGGAAACCTCCACCACAGGTTTATAGTGAGCGAAGAAGTGAATGATTCGAAAAAGACCCCCGCCAGCCATGCCCTGAATTTAAACTGCAGCTACGAACGAACCCCAAAGCCGTAGTGTGATGGGTTTTCTGCTGAGCTTCTCCAGAGGATTTAGACGAACCGGGAACCAAAATCGGTTTGGCGTTCCCTACGCAAACGTTAAGTCCTGAGCATCGCAGGTGACGGTGCCGCAACGGTACAAGATCTGCTACTGCATGCCGCTGCCTCAGCCCTGACATCTCCCCAGAAACGATCTAAATGACCATCGTGAGGTTATGATTACCCAGAGGCTCCAAAGTAGTTCCTTTTTGGGGTTACCTTATAGGATTCTAAATATGAACCCTAAAAAGGAACTACTATGGAGCCTTAGGGTACGGCCGTGCTTAGAACTCGAATTAAGAACGTCAGTCTCATGATCCTCCATGTATAAGCCCTCAAAACCGCAACCCTAAATCCGAACTGCCGAAGCCTTACACTTGTTCTGTGCATGTGGGGTTTAGGGTTTAGGGGTTTAGCGTTTAGGGTTTAGTGCAGCTTGCTTAAACCATTCCAGAAAATAGGGGGCTTATGTGGGCTTCAGTTTTGGGATTCTGCGTGGGCTTCAGGGTGGTGGCTTGAAGATGTCGGGTTAGCGGCTTGTGGCTAGGCCTTAAACCCTCAAGTTCTTCACTGCAAACATTAAATGCTTAAAGGATCATGGGCTTAGTCAGTAGTTTATAATTGGGGTTATAAGTCCCCTGAGTGGGGTTATGCTAGTTATAACCTACTTATAACCTAACTTACTAAGTCCCATGAGCCTTTAAGTGGGGTTGCAATCGTGGATGAAGGCAGGGTGGCGGTTTTGGAAGCAGCTGACCTAAGGACCAGCCAAACCTCTACTTCCAAAGCCCCAAGTCCAAAGCCCTAAGCCCTAATATCCAGACCCTAACCTCTAATTCCGAAGCCCCAAGCCCAAAACCCTAAGCCTAAGCCCGACCTTAAACTACCAAGCCTTCCTTTTTTGTAGGCTCTAGAATATGAAAATATAGGGACCCTACAAAAAAGCAGGTTTTGGTAGGTTAAGGTAATATCCAGCGACCCTGAATCTGAACCCTAAAGCCTAAACCCCAAACTCTCAACTCTCAACAGGTTGGCTTCCTGTGACAACGCGACCCACTTCACAGAGGAGGCTCTGCAAGTCTCCAAGATTCGATCGTAAGGTTCAGGCTTGAGGGCTTGGCGTTGGGGTTTAGGGTTTAGGATTTAGGGTTTAGGATTATTTGGGTGATGGAGTTCCTCGTGCTATTTGCAGTCCCTTTGCCTTCAGGAGTTTGTTGAAATTGTGTTTAGGGGTTAGGGCTGTGTGGTTTCAGGATGTTTGGGGGTTTAGGGTTTGGGGCTCTTTGCTTTCAGGATCTTTGGGGGTTTACGGTTTGGGGTTCTGCTGAGTGGCTTTGTGAAGAAGCTAAGCAAAGCCCGAACCCTGGTTCAAAGGGAGGTTTAGGCCATTCGGCAATTCAATGCCTCAGTCAAGACAGTCTCCTTAAGAGTTTCTTTCCTGGTTCTGACTGGCAGGATGCTGCTGAAGCTTATGGCGTAGAGCCGTAAAGGCGTGGGGTCTTGAGTTTGGTCTCCGGGTTCTCGGGCTTGGCCTTCAGCATCATAATGGTCATCGTCATCTCCATGATCTGCACTGCCATCATCATCATCGTCATCATCATCATCCACCATTTGATTCATCATCATGGTCGTCGTCGATGTCGCCATCAGCACAATCATCAGCATCACACCCACCATCAAGATCATCATCGACGGCGTCGTGACATCAGGATCCTTAAACCCCAAGTCAAACTGCCTCCTGCGGGTTCCATGTCTTTGGAGTGCATACGTGTTTCGACCTGTGTCGAAGAGGTTGCTGTTCAGAGCTTTGAGCTTTAGAACAGAAGGCTTGGCTCCGTGTAAAGCCTGAAAGCTGCGTAGTAGACCAATCTGAATACTTGGCGAGAGTATCTCTTCAGAGTTTCCTGAACAACCATACACTAAAGTACACCTCAACACCATGAAGCCCCTGTATAGGAAAAGGCGCTGTGATTTTCCAGGTGGGCATCCTGGTCGTTAAGGGCGTCGAGAAGCTTCGCTATGCGAGGACATGCTCTTTGGGTGCCTTGGCTTTGTGCGGATCATTGTACTTCAGGGGTAGGGGTGTTGAATGATGGGGCATAGTAATTAGATGTAATCAGGTCTTAAGCTGGGGCAGAACCACGGTAACCCGAATGGGTGTACTTATCAGCCCATTTTTACAACCTACTGCATATTTCCAAAGCAGGTAGTTACCCGTGCGACATGTAGCCGGAACGCCAAACTGCAACAGAAGGTCCCTAGACCCTGAGGCCTCCCCCCATTCGGCAACTGGGCTGCAAGGCTGCAGTGGTCTTAGGCGGGGGTTTTAGTGTATTACGCCCTGATCGGGAGGGACGAACCCCGACACGAGCACTTAAGGGCCAATCATCCGGACTTCGGCCTTTAGGAATCCGTGCTTGTAGACCCACGCCCTGAACACTAAACCCAAAACTCAGTTTGCAGAAGAGCATCTGGTCATCAGCTTAGTGCCTAGATAGAATGAACGTAGTACCTTTATCCTGAGTACATATTTTATGGCCAGGATCCTATACTACTATGAAGACACAGTAGCCAAACAAAAGCCGGTAACCCTCAACCCAACCCAAGGCATAATAGTGCGTTGTCCTGTAACATGTCTACTTAAGTGTTTACAGGACCCTTGAACCCCTCTTTAATTCGCAGAATCCCAGTACAGAGCTCTAGATAATGTGGATTTTCGCCGTGGCTAAAACACCGGAAAGCCTGAACGTTGTGACTCGTTGAGCTTGATACTGCCCAGGTGAGCGGTGCGGCTTGACTTTCAATGGCTCGGGCATAGAAAACGGCACCGACAGCATCAAGCTGTCCGACGCTCAGAGGTCAAGAGCGGTTTGAGACTTTGTGTGCTTTGGGATTGCGGATTTGGGTTTAAGGGCTGAAGGCTTACCCAAAGGCTCTAAGGACTCATATTTTAAGGCCTTTGGGCCTAAAGACCATATTATATCAGGCTTTTGGGCCATTTCGAGCCGTAGGCTTAGGGTGCGGGGATTACGGCTTGGGGCTTGGGAGGAGGATAGGGGCAACTTGAAGGTTTCGGGTTCGGGCTCATCTAGAAGATTTCTCTCGCGGCTGCGGTCAAGACTTTGTTGACTCCATGTCGCCACAGAGAGGCAGAGAGAGAGACACAGAGAGAGTGAGAGAGAGATTGAGACAAGAAAAGCAAGAACGACAGGCAGGACCTGAGAAAGAGAGAGAGAGAGAGAGAGAGAGAGAGAGAGAGAGAAAGAAAGAGAGAAAGAGAGAGAGAGAGAGATAGAGAGTGAGAGAGTGAGATAGGAGAGAGAGAGAGGGAGACAGAGAGACGTCCGCCTGAGCACAACAGCAGCACTCATCACGTGCCACAGTTGCAGCAGCAAGTGCATAGGGGGGTATTGGCATGGAGCTCTCTGGGCAATTACGACTCGGTTCCTACGGCTGATTAGCCTGCTGTACGCGTGCGTGGGTTTGGAGTTTATAGAATGGGGGTGTTACGGTTCAGGGGTTGAGGCTTTACAGTTGGGGAGTTTACGGTTTGAGGTGGTCAAAGCCCATGCTTCGAACATTGCCACAGTATTGCTTTAAGCATTACTGAGGAAACTCATATTACAGGGGCTATTAGGTTTGGGTGGGGCTTGCAGTCGCAAGGATCATGCGGTACGGTTTGGGGCCTATATCAGCCTCTCTAGTTTGCTAAGCGCCCATGTCAGGATTCTGTCGGGAGCCCCAAGCCGAAAAACCCTATAGCCCAACTGATACTATACAGGCTTCCGTCGGGCTACCCTTGCGGCGGCGGATACCTTCGCGCGCGGGGCCTTGGGCTAGTCGGGGGGTTGAGGGCTCTTTTCTTGCGGTGACGTCGGAATTCAGAGTTCCGGGTCTTGCAAAGCACAGATTTATTGACCAATTCTGGAGCGCCGAGCTCGGTCACCAAAGTTTGAAGCACACCAAGACCTACTACTGCATGAAACATCATATTCCTTCCGGCGCCGTGATCGCTGTCGAGCCGTCAACCTTTTACCCTAGAATCCCGAAGCCAAACCCCAAGCCTTAACTCTCTTCGCGACAAACGCCTTAAGACCCATACCTAGAGCCCCTGAAGCCCAAGAAGGAAACCTAAAGCCTAAAGCTTTAAAGTCGACCTTACACTGCGAAACCGAGATCTGCCCTGTTCCCTAAACCCTAAATTCGAAACCATAAACCCTAACCCAAAACACTTAAACTGCTAAGCTGCTAAGCCTGGAGGCCTCCCTCTGCTCACAACAGTGAACCTGGGGATATCCCAAAGGTCGTCGGCGGCGATGAGAACGGCACAGCGGATCTGAACGGCCCGCCCGACGTTGTTCTAAGAAAGGGAAAGGTCGGAAGTTGGGTTTCGGTTTCAGAGTTTGGGAGTTACGCGATTTGTGCTCCTTGTTTGGATGTCTCAGGTCAATGAAGTTTAGTATTTAGGAAGTTTCTGGATTGGGGGGTACCAGTAGCGATAGAGATGTTGAGGGATCGGCGGTTTGTATGGTTCATTGCTCGATATCCAAATGATCCATGCTTCTGGGTTGACCTGTGTGCTCATCCAGAACTGCAGAAGACGCGTATATACAGTTACTACACAGATCAGCTCGGCTGGGTTCCACAATGTTCCACAACGGTGATGCACTGGTCATTATGAACGTTGGAAGCTCGTGAATTCTTTGATGAGCCAACACACCCCAAATTTATAATATACGTATAGGGCACAGGGGCCTAAGTCAATACATAGTATACGTAGATATACTGAACGTAATATTCCCCCCAAGCCCTACTCAAAATTGCTTCGCTGCTTCCATGCCAGAACATCTAGCTTGTTACACACCTGAGTCGTTCGGAGCGAACCAGAAACTTTGGTTTGTTAATCCGATGCCCTAACTTCCGGCCACTTGAAAAAACTCCGGCCACGATATGATAATGAAGCAGTATGCTGTATAATGTCATATAATAGAACAGCATATATGTAGGAGACAGTGTAACCAACCATAATACGATGTTGTAATATAACAGACATAGTCGGAGATGTTACCATTTCTGCTGTAAGAATATTAGTTTAGTATAGTGTAGCATGACATGATATAACTGAATATAATGAACCATCAAATAGTATATCAGAACATAATATGCTATAACATAATGTAAAACAATATAGTATACCACACAACAGTATGAAGTAATGTAGTCGAATACAAGATAAGCAAACTATCGTCTCTTCAAATGTAAAATAAACAGAACATAGTTGAATATGATATGGTATAATGAGTATGATAACCTCTAACATCATATGATGTAGTATAGTAGAGCATGGAATATTTCATGGCACAATATCCTGCATGATGATACATCTTTCATTATTACTAATTCACCATCGTATAGTAAAGAACCCTTATAAACAGAATAGATATCGTAATATACTAGTATATAGTAGTATCATAGAATAAGATAATTAAGCAGAGTGCTAGCTACAGTATGTCATACTGCAGCATGATATAGTATACACCAGGCATCTATGAAAGAGGGAACTTTCTCTTCAACGACCGGACGTTCTTTGTCCAGCGCGGGGGCCGTCGGGGCACCGAGACTTCCGGGAAGCTACACCAAGGGCCTGTACCAAAAGGATCAGTTTCTAGGGCTTTGGGGTTCCAGGGTTCGGGTTTAGGGTTTGTGGTCTAAGGTTCAGGATTTTCTTGGGATTTGGGGTTAGGATGTACCTAGACACGAAAGGTTTAGGCAAACACGTGGCAATCTTGTTGATGTGCACCCCTTTTGAGCTTACCCCAGGTATACCGCGACTCATAGCCTGCTACAAAACACCAGCAGGATTCAAGAAGTTCGGTATTCAAGGCTGCATGAAGCCCTTTTCCCGACATCCTCTGCCCTGGTACTCTGGGATGCAATTTATCTGTTTGTAGTCCTCCTGTTTGAAAGGCGATCCGGATTGAGAGGCTCGGGATACCCCACAAGTATGCCATGCGTATACTTGTTTGTAGGAGAACCCCCCAAGTTAGCGCGGGTTTCGGGCTTCGGGTTTCAGATCTTGGGGATGCCACATGCCACCTTTGCATGCTCGTCGTTGGCATAGTTCCCAAACGTGAATAAACCGCGTATCACTTGCCACTATACACCCACGCCTCACCACAGTTCCGCTGTCCTGTGTCGCTCTTGGCTACGCAGCAATAGCTTAGGAGTCGACGGCTTTTCGGTCTTTAGTATTCAACGCTTGAGGGTACAGTGCACACCTGCCAAACTGTGATGCTGATTGAGGCGAAGCCAGTACCCAAATAATTTATGCATTGGCCCTATAGAGTCCTTATATAGGGACTACTTTAAGGCCCAAGTACAAACTATTTGGTCTCAGCGAGCTGCGTCCGACAAGCTTCAGGTGAATAGGGCCCGATGATCGCGAAACAGCTAATCAGCTCAAACCCCTAAACTGTAAAGCTCAACTACAACTTGGCACCTCCACTCCTGACTCCCAGATCCTTCTAAACCGTAATCCCTTTTAAACCCTAAGCCATCGGATGACCCGGAACCCTGTGCAAAGCCCTGGGCCCTGAACCCTTTCAAACCGCCAGCACGAAGCCCTGGAAGTGTGTCATACAAGAGCCCGAGCCCGAACCTTGCTTGAATCGTACGGCGATGTTGCATGGCGTGTTGGCTTCTGGTTGCGGCCCTCAGCCACTCGGCAGGAAACTTTGCAGGCATCGCGGGATTTAAGACTTGGGTTTTCGGGGACTTGGGGTAATGTAGGGGCCTGTTTAATTACCAAGACCATTTTGAGGTTTTCTGATGTTTTGTATAGCTTAATGGGCCCCGAAACCCTATTATTCCAATTAGTGGGGCCCCTATATTATACTACCTTACAGATCCCTTATTGTAGCCCTTCTAGTCCCCTTTCCAGGAACCCTACTATATTCTAATCATGAAGGCCCCTATAGTAGAGGGTTTAGGGGCGTGTGGAGTGCCCAGATAGCCCAGTACACCTTAATTACGAAATGTACCTTAAACTCTAGGGGACTTAATATTATGAGTTAAGGTATATTCCTTAACCCTG